GGGTAGTTTTTGGAGCTGATTTTGAACTTAGCGCCCATCTGAACATTTAAGAAGTAGTTGTGTTGCTTATTCATATAGCATGCTAGGAAGCAATCGGTGGTTGTCATCCACTTTTAGGTACTGGTCGATCTGACCTGACCTGACAAATGCATGGAGTCATCATCTTCGTTCAAAACTAAGATAACATTCGTAATCAGAACCTCGAAAAACCATCACAACTTACATTCGTTAAGTTCTGGCAGGTCCCGAGTTTCTCTATACTTATTGGCGATGACCTGAGTCCTGAGATGACACGAAAACTTGTAAATGGGTATCATCGGCTTTCTCTCGTCACGGGCAGCATGCTCTTTTTTCCGCAAACCTGTAGATCGATCAGGGGTCGAAAGCATGCCTCAGCGTTAGTTTAGTATACGTTATACGTTAGCGACTGGGAAACCACCAATAGAAGGGCTACAGTGAAGCAGAAAACTATTCGATAGCTCTTTTAACGCTCTTTCGCTAGCTTCGCGTTAGATTTCATCTCAGGTCTATGTTTGGCCCATAAGAAGGCAAACAGCTAACTGGACAGATTCTGCCGAAACATCTGCTTTGCAATAACTTTCGATTCCGTGAATTTGTATGGTATGTACATATGTTGTCTTGTCACCACCGTCTTGATCTCTTTGAGACGCGTCACATGAGTTAAAATTTGACCATTCAGAATTAACGTTAAAACGACCTCAGGTCAACGTTATGTCCTGATCGAAAAAGGACCTCCTGCTGCATATGAATGGATTCGTGTTGTTGAGCTGAAAAGTGAACACCTTCCAGGTGCTGTCATTGCTCTACCGCGTCTTCGTCAAAAGTTGTAGAAAAAAATGCTGGTGGCCATCGATGGACATTTCCACTAATGACCTTTCGAGTCATCACTCGCCATAAGTTGCACCCTGTCCCTGGCAATGATGAGCTGATTTGTCATGGCTCCAAAGATATTTTGCCTTTCTGACGAACTTTTTCAAAGCAGGAGGCATTCGTGCTTTTTCTAATTTCTCATTATTTTCTCATGATGAGGTCACGTATTTGACCTGTCTTCAGATCATAGATGTAAATCCTCAGCTAGAATCATGAATTGCTGACACGTATAACCCCATACATTAGGTACCTATACAGTGTACCAAATTTCGAAGTTATGGGAGAAAAGCTACAAGAATGGCGAGAGGGGAAAGTTTTTGTAGAGGTATACCGTATATGTAACTGAACTTGACATGACGACCTGACCTTAAGTGACCAGTGATAATTTTTACGCAAGTGATGTAGGCACTCGTAGGTATACCTACCTAATAGGTTATACCAAATTTGGCGGCGCTGCGCGCCGATTTGTTACACACGCACACACACACATACGCACGCACAACACTGGGAAGTGTGGCAAAAAAAAAAAACACCCCTACCCATCGGGTGAAGACTAGAAACCCGACCCCCCACTCAAAAATCCGTGGCGACGCCCCTGCGTTCAATTTAATTGCAATCGTGCTGTGAAGGGAAGCCGGAAAAGTTAATTAAAATTTACGGAAACAATGGTCGATGGTTAGTGTAGCCTGAGGCAAGACGCCCCAGATTAATTTATTTTGCTAAATAACTTTTGTCCCACGACCCACAACACCTGAAAGGGCAACTTTGTGCTCCGTGCATTTTTAGAACATTTTTCTTTCAATTCCATCCCTCAGATTCATTCAGTTTTGATGAGATTCCCAGCTAGAAAATGATTTCTGAAGCAACTGCAAGTGAGGCATTTTGTCCCACCCCGGGACAAAACGCCCCACGACCTGGGGCGTTGGGCCTTATGCCATAGATTAAAAATAAAACAAGGTAATTGGCTAAATCTTACATGTGATGTCCGGTAGACTTAACTGGAGGCACGTCGCTGAAGCCTCCTAATCCATCAGCTGTTCAGCTGTGACGCTGTTGTATGATCCGGTTTTTCACCTGCCTCATAAAAAATAGACTTCAAGTAATGCAATCTAAAATTGTCATAAAAAAACAGGAGCATATGTTTGGAAACCCTATGTGTACAGAGGATGTGCCATGATTTATCAACGCCAGGGTAAGCCTTGAAAGTCGCTTCGGCTAAGTTACTGATTCCGCTGTTCATAAGCCTCTTCAGGCAGGACCAGAAGGTTGTTAAAAAAAAACGATTTTTGGAAAAGTATATGGGCTCATGGCTCATGTGGTGCGGTATTCTTTTCTGAGACCAATGATACCCTTTTTTCCGAAAAGTATTACTGCTAGGCGCTGCTCAAACGGCTTAAAGAGGACCATGTTACGCCCGCCGACCGGCCGGTGTCAATAAGGGCGAGAACTCGACGCCGCGCGCCGGCGGCAGCGCCTTATCGGCACCGCGCGCAACGGCATCTGCCGGGCGGCCGGCTGGGCAGTGGGAAGTTACAAGCGCGTGGTCTTCTTGCACACGATCGGGGTGAGCTATCCCATGTTTTCGGGGCGGAAAGTTTCAGTGCAGCATCGGTGCGTCTGCCACGGTGGTCTGTGTCGATGGTACAGAAAATAACTCAAACAGAGCTCAGAAAAGACTGAATAATTCCGGATAGTTGCCTCGAAACAATCCATTTCAAGAATACAGCTGCCTTCTTAACGTACTGTATCACTTTTTAATTCTTCTAAAAGCAAGCTCTGAGCAATAACAGACTTCTTTGCATTGCTGTTGACAATTTAAGTTGCTTTTGGACGGTGACTCGCAGCTCCAATATGCTGCCGCGTAACTCTATTCCAACGACGAAACGGCAACTTAGCGAGAATCGAAACTTTAACGAAGTAGGTACAACAGGAGCTGGCAAGGCTCCTGCATTGGTCTATCCGTCATGAGTGACACACCGGGGTAATGTGTCACGTCAGGGCAGAGATGTGTTCTATGCCGGGTCTGGATTCGGGTCTTGATCGGCATCGGTGGGCACGGCCGCCCTGGCCGGACTGCCGGCGTCGCTTATGCTCGAAGGATTGGATAAACGGCGCTTTATAGGTACACTCGGGGGCAGATTGATGTTCCACCACTCCCTACCCATCAGGCTCCCATGGATCAGCAGTGGCTGCTGCCAGTGTTGCCTGCCCTCAGCACTGCTCAGCACTGCCTGCCAATGCCAGTGCTGCCAGTCCTGCCACTGACAGCAGCCAGTGCGGGAGCCATGGGAGCCCGATGGGTAGGGAGTGGTGGAACATCAATCTGCCCCCGAGTGTACTCCGGCTAATGTCTCTACTCATGTCTCACTTCGTCACACTGTCAGGGTGGCCACCCTGTCATTCCCGGACATGCTATGTTTTATTTCGGCCTGCTAATCTAAGTTAAACCTGGCGTCGATTCTGTTGCTTCAGCATTTGACATCAACGTATCTGCATAATGACATTGGTGACGCCCATGCTCGTCAAACCCACCCCCAAACTTGGACCGATGACTTCCGGGTCTCCATATTCTGTTCTTGTGCATTGCCAGCTCTTGCTGTACGTAAATCGTGAATTTTCGATTCTCGCACAGTTGCGCGTTTCGCCGTTAGATTTAAGATGCGTGGCAGCATATTGGGGGTGCGAGCCACCGTCCAAAAGTAACGTTAATTGTCAACAGCAATGCAAAGAAGTCTGCTATTGCTCAGAGTTTGCTTTTTAAAGAATTAACAAGTGATACGGTACGTTAAGAAGGCAAATGTATTCTTGAAATGGATTGTTTGGAGGCAACTAACCGGAATCATTCAGTCTTTTCTGAGCTCTGTTTGAGTTATTTTCTGTACCATCGACACAGACCACCGTGGCAGACGCACCGATGCTGCACTGAAACTGTCCGCCCCGAAAACATGGGATAGCGTATCCCGATCGCGTGATAAAGACCACGCACTTATAACTTCCCACCGCCCGGCCGGCCGCCCGGCAGATGTCGTGCCGCGCGGTGCCGATAAGGCGCTGCCACCCGTGCGCGGCGTCGAATTCTCGCCCTTATTGACACCGGCCGGTCGGCGGGCGTAACATGGTCCTCTTTAAGCCGTTTGAGGAGCCCCTAACAGTTAATACTTTTCAAAAAAATGGGCATCATTGGACTCAGAAAAGAATACCGCACCACATGAGCCATGAGCCCGTATACTTTTCCAAAATTCGGTTTTTTTGAACAACCCTAAGGACCAGGTACCTCAGAATTAGACCACAATCTTGGAATGCTTCAGGAAAGTCTTGTGAAGAACTGTAATCCGCTGCCTTGCGGCTCGATACCACCATTGGTCCTCGAGATGGGGGGAGGGGGGAGAGAGAGTTCTGAATTCTGATACGACCCTCCCAGGCAGACGTGGGTACGAAATTAGCCCAGGCGATGCCGGGTTAAGCAGTGATGTAAACTCTTTTCTTAAACCTAAAATATAATTTTTATAGACTGATGAAGTAACCACAATTTTTCGTTTCGACTCCTTGCTCACGCATCGCCGGAGCGATAGCCTTTAGTCAGTCCTCTTCAATGATAACCGACCTTGAGCAGCCCGGAGTGCACAACACAGCACTTGGTGACTGGGTCACGTTTGGCGTCGAAGAGCCGCGTGGGGGAGAGGGGGCGTGGCGTGGCAGTGGCTCTCCCCAGCCGTGACCGTCTCTCTGGGCCGGCACTATATAACGGCGGCCCGCGGTCGGTGGCGGCACAGCTGCACTCAGCGGCCCAAACAGCCGTCCAAAGCAGCTCCAGCATGGCCTTCAGACAGGTGAGTCGGTACCGCAAAAACATTTCGCGCCGACTCCAATTGATACTTTTTCATCTAGCCTGGCTCTATTTCCGCTACGTCAACGTAACGGCAAATCCAGCACTGAGAGCTAATCAATAATATGTGTTTTCATTCAGTACCAGGGATCTTACTGCATCTTTACTTCTAAATAAAGTGTACATTTCCCCCAAATCCAAATAACTCTGCCATACCTAATAGCCCTCAAAGCACCATCAAAAGCATCATCTTACAACGCCGTGCTCCTTCTCAGGCGTGCACGGTGGCCCTCCTGGCCGGCCTTTGCCTGGCCGACGGAGGAGGACATGGCGGAGGAGGGTTCTCCGGAGGCGGAGGACATGGCGGAGGAGGATTCTCTGGAGGAGGAGGACATGGTGGAGGAGGATTCTCCGGAGGTGGAGGACATGGCGGGGGAGGCGGAGGCGGCGGTGGATATGGTGGTGGCTCCAGCGTCTCTTCAGGTTACGGAGCTCCCAGCAAGGGAAGCGGAGGCGGCGGTGGATATGGCGGTGGCTCCAGCGTCTCTTCAGGTTACGGAGCTCCCAGCGTCTCTTCAGGCTACGGAGCTCCCAGCAAGGGAAGCGGAGGTGGCGGTGGATACAGCAGTGGAGGAAGCGGAGGCGGCGGTGGATATGGTGGTGGCTCCAGCGTCTCTTCAGGCTACGGAGCTCCCAGCGTCTCTTCAGGTTACGGAGCTCCCAGCAAGGGAAGCGGAGGCGGCGGTGGATATGGTGGTGGCTCCAGCGTCTCTTCAGGCTACGGAGCTCCCAGCGTCTCTTCAGGTTACGGAGCTCCCAGCAAGGGAAGCGGAGGCGGCGGTGGATATGGTGGTGGCTCCAGCGTCTCTTCAGGCTACGGAGCTCCCAGCGTCTCTTCAGGCTACGGAGCTCCCAGCAAGGGAAGCGGAGGTGGCGGTGGATACAGCAGTGGAGGAAGCGGAGGCGGCGGTGGATATGGTGGTGGCTCCAGCGTCTCTTCAGGCTACGGAGCTCCCAGCAAGGGAAGCGGAGGCGGCGGTGGATACAGCAGTGGAGGAGGCGGAGGCGGCGGTGGATATGGTGGTGGCTCCAGCGTCTCTTCAGGCTACGGAGCTCCCAGCGTCTCTTCAGGTTACGGAGCTCCCAGCAAGGGAAGTGGAGGCGGCGGTGGATATGGTGGTGGCTCCAGCGTCTCTTCAGGCTACGGAGCTCCCAGCGTCTCTTCAGGTTACGGAGCTCCCAGCAAGGGAAGCGGAGGCGGCGGTGGATATGGTGGTGGCTCCAGCGCCTCTTCAGGTTACGGAGCTCCCAGTAAGGGAAGCGGAGGCGGCGGTGGATATGGTGGTGGCTCTAGCGTCTCTTCAGGCTACGGAGCTCCCAGCAAGGGAAGCGGAGGCGGCGGTGGATACAGCAGTGGAGGAAGCGGAGGCGGCGGTGGATATGGTGGTGGCTCTAGCGTCTCTTCGGGTTACGGAGCTCCCAGCGTCTCTTCAGGCTACGGAGCTCCCAGCAAGGGAAGCGGAGGCGGCGGTGGATACAGCAGTGGAGGAGGCGGAGGCGGCGGTGGATATGGTGGTGGCTCCAGCGTCTCTTCAGGTTACGGAGCTCCCAGCAAGGGAAGCGGAGGCGGCGGTGGATATGGTGGTGGCTCCAGCGTCTCTTCAGGTTACGGAGCTCCCAGTAAGGGAAGCGGAGGCGGCGGTGGATATGGTGGTGGCTCTAGCGTCTCTTCGGGTTACGGAGCTCCCAGCGTCTCTTCAGGCTACGGAGCTCCCAGCAAGGGAAGCGGAGGCGGCGGTGGATATGGTCGTGGCTCCAGCGTCTCTTCGGGATACGGAGCTCCCAGTAAGGGAAGCGGAGGCGGCGGTGGATATGGCGGTGGTTCCAGCGTCTCGTCAGGTTACGGAGCTCCCAGCAAGGGAAGCGGAGGCGGCGGTGGATATGGTGGTGGCTCTAGCGTCTCTTCAGGTTACGGAGCTCCCAGCGTCTCTTCAGGCTACGGAGCTCCCAGCAAAGGAAGCGGAGGCGGCGGTGGATATGGTGGTGGCTCCAGCGTTTCTTCAGGCTACGGAGCTCCCAGTGTCTCTTCAGGTTACGGAGCTCCCAGCAAGGGAAGCGGAGGCGGCGGCGGCTACAGCAGTGGAGGAGGCGGAGGCTCCAGTTACGGAAGCATCCCAAGCTCCAGTGGCGGTGGAGGAAAGTACGAGCCAAGGAGGTCGTCATCACATTATTCGGGATAGTCGGTTAAGCGCTGGATTGCCAATGAATGTTGTGGATGATGCCCCGTGCCAGTTTTGCTACTCTTCTTTATTTTTTATTGCAAGCGCCTTTAAGAAACACCATTCAGTAATGTTCATGCCCGCTGTATGATGCAGTTACATGCTTCTCGAACATTTCGATAGAAACTATCGTTTACATTACAGGTTTGCGTACCAAGAACTGGCAATCGATGTCCATGAAATTGCTTCTGGTATGATAATCTTACTTGCATTATGAAAATGATCGATCAGAGCCAACGTCGCTAACATAGGTACCTACTTGCTTGCCTTTCTAGACTGAGATTGATGCACAGCTTAAGTGTTCCTACTCTTACCTCTACGCTCAAGTGTCGCGTTTTATTTATGAATGTTGTGTGATATGTAAATACAACGCTGTATGCCTACTATATGCATTGCTTTTACGTTTCCCTAATAGGAGCGGGAACCGGGGGAGGGGGGGGGGGGGGAGGGCATTGGGGGCAGGTTACCCCTCAACTCTGGGGCCGTGGGGGCGGTGCCCGTACACAACTTTGAGACGGAATACTGCACTTTTTTGCAAATGTTTTCTTATGTTGAAAAAGCTAAGGGATGAAAAATAAGTGGCCTAAAACCGGCCAGAAAACTTGATTTGGGGGTACCCCAGGGTCATCAGAGGATTGCAAACTTGTTTAGGCTTGGTCAGTTAACTTGACCTGGTGACCTGACCTGACATGACCTGGGGTCAAAAATTTCACACCTTGTCCAAAACCAATTATGTCCCTAGACTCTATATGTAAAATTCGTAGCAATGATGACGATGGAAAGCTGCGGCATTTCTTGACGGTGCAAATTTCCACATATACAACTTCGTAGGTATAATGACGTCATAAGTCTGTGGAATTACTAGCTCGTGAACTGAAATTCGGAGTCCGTCACGAATCCTATATTTAGGCATCGAGCGCCGCGCCGGGGCAACTCGAACCCGGACTCTCACTACCGGAAGCTCAGCATTAGGTATAGGTATATGCGTGCCAATTGCACGACGGGAGGGACCGACATAAGCTTGGCGCGATTTCTACCCATTCGCGATTTCATATATACTAGATGGCATGTTTTGCGCTATAACTTTATGTTTTGATTAAATTGGTTTTACGGATGCATTATGCTGGGTTAAAAAATCGTTTTATTTGTATTATTTGGGTTTCTACCCTGCCCATACCCTACCTGCCCATACCCTACCCTGCCCATACCCTACCCTGCCCATACCCAACTTCTATCCTATCCTACCCATCACCTAACCATACTCTGCCCTGCCCATACCCTGCCCTGCCCATACTATAACCCTGCCCATACCCTACCCGGCCCATACCCAACTTCTACCCTATCCTACCCGTCCCTACCCTGCCCAACCTACTCTGCCCATACACTACTTAGTACTTATACCCTAGATGGCCAGCTTTGCGCGGTAACGTATTGCGATGTTCCGAGTTACGCAATACGTATATGTCCGTGAGGATACAAATTTCGGTATATTGAACTGAGACTAAGAATGATCTGTTGCTGGGTCGATCCCCGACGGTAAGCCAACTCGTTTCTGTAGCATACCGAGCCCTCCCGGCAGTTGCCGGCTAGCCGAATGCTCCCTGGGAATGAATGCGGGCGAAAAACTTGGAACTGACCGGCCGCGAACCTCCTGCCTCCGGATTTCCAGTCCGACACTTTAGCCACTCGGCCGCGCGGTCAGTAGGCGCTAGGCGAGTTATTGACAGCTATAAAGCATAGAGTAGTATTCCCATGTCGCCCCGGCTGCGTTCAATCCACGGCGCTGCATCGCCGGTAAAAACGCGTCGAAAACGGTACAATGATTGCTCTGTTTCTAAGAGCCCTTGATGACTTTTTGAAAATATTTTGGGTGGATATTGATCAGAAAAGAGTGCTCTTTCAATATATTAAGGACTTTTAGCCATAAGTCTACGTTATCAATATATTATGATGTTGTAAAGGTAAGCGTGCCTGTTTCACGTAAAACTCGCAATTTGTAAGCGTTTAATTATAAAGATGTGCGAGTGAATGGGCAAAAAAATATATTTTCTGAACAGTTCAGATCCTTTTGTAGTCCGTGAAATGCATCCCGTGTCATTCCAATGCATCGTTTTCAAATGCCAACGTTTTCCCTGAAATGTGTAAAAAATGCCCGTTTTCTCGAGATTAGAGGCTATTTCTTTGCACGTGGTACATACGTAAGAAAAAACTTATTGCATACGATAGACCCATCTCTTCTGTATCCATCAGCGAAAACCGCATGTGGCTGCGACTTACGGTTGCCGAGATATAAGCTCGGGAAAGGAGCGCTGCAGGCCCAATTTTCGCCCGTTGGCGGTTTTCGCCGGCCACGTGTTAAGCCTATGGGAGCACCCTTTTGCACGTGCCGACGGCGCACCCCTGGTCTGATCACGCCCAAATTTTAATACAAAGGCCGCCCACGCCCATAGATTCGGCATGCCAAATTTCACGCCGATACGCGGCGCCTTTCAGGCGCAATAAGACACATAAGGCATGACACACGGATGGATGGAGAACGCACGGACGACTTATAAATCATAATATAGACTAGGCATTTGAGTGAGCCCCAATAGAGCCGTTGCGAAGCCCACAGGAGTCGCGCGCGGCCCTCAGATGCCAATTTTGAAAGCCAGGAACCTTTGGTCACCAGAGGTCGGTGTACCTAGCTTCTCTCTCCCGCCGCCACACAACTACTCGTATATGGGTAAATGTCATAGTCTGAAAATGCTCTCTGGGTTTCACATGCTTGTTCAAAGCAAGAGGTAGGTATCTGTACTTTTCCGAATTGTTTTATACTGGTAAGGTAAGGTCATGAATCCGCGTGCCCGACCTTCCAGTATATGCTACACCGATCCGTCGCCATGGTGCAGTGGCCCGACCGGTGGAAACACCGTGGGACGAGAAATGGTAGGTACTGGTGATTTTGCCTTAAATTGAGCTTAAAGATTCCACGCAAGAACGAGATGAATGAAGCATAAGTATGGCCAACTGCGCGGCGCCTCGCGGGCGTAAAAAATGAGCCGATCACCCTCCGGTGACGGATAAATGTTATGTCCCGCGAGTGTGAGTTTGGCCCCCCCTTTTGCTAGCGGCTGCGACCGCCAGTGCAATTGGCCCAGCCGTTCCTTAGATATAGGGCCGACCCCTCACGTGCGCACGTTCAGTCGGTCCACCGCACCTGTATCACATGACCATGCATCGCCTGGTGAGTGCCCTGCCCACCCACAGTTCAATTTTCAGCACAATCGGCCCAGTAGTGGCTGAGTTGTTGCAAGGATAAATTTACTTTATTTACTGGCGAATCCCCTTAGCGAGCGGTGCCCTGCGCCGGTGTTCGTTGTCAAAGTTCAATGACCTGCCGGCTCTGCTGCTTTTCGTTCAGTTTTGGCAGCGAAGAAAATGAGCCAAGAGCACGTGCTCTCCGCTCGGCGCCAGCCGCGGCCCGTCATGCGAGAGAGATTCACGCGCTGACGGCGCACCCCTGGACCAATCAGCCCCAAATTTTAATACAAAGGCCGCCCACGCCCACAGATTGGGCATGCCAAATTTCACGTCGCTACGCGGCGCCGTTCCGGCGCATTAAGACACATAAGGCATGACACACGCACAGACATCTTATAATTCATAATATATATGTATATATATATATATTATTATATAATATATATATATATATATATATATATATATATAGATATATTATATATATATATATATTATATATCTATTATATAGATATATTATATATATATATATATTATATATATCTATTATATATATATAATATATATATATATATATATATATATATATATATATATATCTATATATATATATTATGAATTATAGATGTCTCGTGCGTGTGTCATGCCTTATGTGTCTTAATGCGCCGGAACGGCGCCGCGTAGCGACGTGAAATTTGGCATGCCAATCTGGGGCGTGGGCGCCTTTGTATTAAACTTGGGGCTGATTGGTCCAGGGGTGCGCCGTCAGCGCGTGAATCTCTCTCGCATGACGGGCGCGGCTGGCGCCGAGCGGAGAGCACGTGCTCTTGGCTCATTTTCTTCGCTGCCAAAACTGAACGAAAAGCAGCAGAGCCGGCAGGTCATTGAACTTTGACAACGAACACCGGCGCAGGGCACCGCTCGCTAAGGGGATTCGCCAGTAAATAAGTAAATTTTATTGCAACAACTCAGCCACTACTGGGCCGATTGTGCTGAAAATTGAACTGTGGGTGGGCAGGGCACTCACCAGGCGATGCATGGTCATGTGATACAGGTGCGGTGGACGACTGAACGTGCGCACGTGAGGGGTCGGCCCTATAGAAGGAACGGCTGGGCCAATTGCACTGGCGGTCGCAGCCGCTAGCAAAAGGGGGGGCCAAACTCACACTCGCGGGACATAACATTTATCCGTCACCGGAGGGTGATCGGCTCATTTTTACGCCCGCGAGGCGCCGCGCAGTTGGCCATACTTATGCTTCATTCATCTCGTTCTGCGTGTGGAATCTTTAAGCTCAATTTAAGGCAAAATCACCAGTACCTACCATTTCTCGTCCACGGGTTTCCACCGGTCGGGCCACTGCACCATGGCGACGGATCGGTGTAGCATATACTGGAAGGTCGGGCACGCGGATTCATGACCTTACCTTACCAGTATAAAACAATTCGGAAAAGTACAGATACCTACCTCTGCTTTGAACAAGCATGTGAAACCCAGAGAGCATTTTCAGACTATGACATTTACCCATATACGAGTAGTGTGTGGCGGCGGGAGAGAGAGAGCTAGGTACACGACCTCTGGTGACCAAAGGTTCCTGGCTTTCAAAATTGGCATCTGAGGGCCGCGCGCGACTCCTGTGGGCTTCGCAACGGCTCTATTGGGGCTCACTCAAATGCTAGTCTATATTATGATTTATAAGTCGTCCGTGCGTTCTCCATCCATCCGTTGTCATGCCTTATGTGTCTTATTGCGCTGAAAGGCGCCGCGTATCGGCGTGAAAATTTGGCATGCCGAATCTATGGGGGGGCGGCCTTGTATTAAAATTGGGCGTGATCAGACCAGGGGTGCGCCGTCGGCACGTGCAAAAGGGTGCTCCCATAGGCTAACACGTGGCCGGCGAAAACCGCCAACGGGCGAAAATTGGGCCTGCAGCGCTCCTTTCCCGAGCTTATATCTCGGCAACCGTAAGTCGCAGCCACATGCGGTTTTCGCTGATGGATACAGAAGAGATGGGTCTATCGTATGCAATAATTTTTTCTTACGTATGTACCACGTGCAAAGAAATAGCCTCTAATCTCGAGAAAACGGGCATTTTTACACATTTCAGGGAAAACGTTGGCATTTGAAAACGATGCATTGGAATGACACGGGATGCATTTCACGGACTACAAAAGGATCTGAACTGTTCAGAAAATATATTTTTTGCCCATTCACTCGCACATCTTTATAATTAAACGCTTACAAATTGCGAGTTTTACGTGAAACAGGCACGCTTACCTTTACAACATCATAATATATTGATAACGTAGACTTATGGCTAAAAGTCCTTAATATATTGAAAGAGCACTCTTTTCTGATCAATATCCACCCAAAATATTTTCAAAAAGTCATCAAGGGCTCTTAGAAAACAGAGCAATCATTGTACCGTTTTCGACGCGTTTTTACCGGCGATGCAGCGCCTGGATTGAACGCAGCGGGGCGACATGGGAATACTACTCTATGCTTTATAGCTGTCAATAACTGCCTAGCGCCTACTGACCGCGCGGCGAGTGGCTAAAGTGTCGGACTGGAAATCCGGAGGAGGAGGTTCGCGGCCGGTCAGTTCAAGTTTTTCGCCCGCATTCATTCCCAGGGAGCATTCGGCTAGCCGGCAACTGCCGGGAGGGCTCGGTATGCTACAGAAACGAGTTGGCTTACCGTCGGGGATCGACCCAGCAACAGATCATTCTTAGTCTCAGTTCAATATACCGAAATTTGTATCCTCACGGACATATACGTATTGCGTAACTCGGAACATCGCAATACGTTACCGCGCAAAGCTGGCCATCTAGGGTATAAGTACTAAGTAGTGTATGGGCAGAGTAGGTTGGGCAGGGTAGGGAGGGTAGGATAGGGTAGAAGTTGGGTATGGGCGGGTAGGGTATGGGCAGGGTTATAGTAGGGCAGGGCAGGGTATGGGCAGGGCAGAGTATGGTTAGGTGATGGGTAGGATAGGATAGAAGTTGGGTATGGGCAGGGTAGGGTATGGGCAGGGGTAGGGTATGGGCAGGTAGGGTATGGGCAGGGTAGAAACCCAAATAATAAAATAAAACGATTTTTTAACCCAGCATAATGCATCCGTAAAACCAATTTAATCAAAACATAAAGTTATAGCGCAAAACATGCCATCTAGTATATATGAAATCGCGAATGGGTAGAAATCGCGCCAAGCTTATGTCGGTCCCTCCCGTCGTGCAATTGGCACGCATATACCTATACCTAATGCTGAGCTTCCGGTAGTGAGGTCCGGGTTCGAGTTGCCCGGCGCGGCGCTCGATGCCTAAATATAGGATTCGTGACGGACTCCG